GAGAAGCTAGCTGCTTGAGCTGCTGCTACCTCTCCCTGGTGCTCTTGCTCTTTGCCACCACCATGAAAGGTTGCCCTCTGCTGTGTGCCACTCTGCCTTGGAGCCAGCTGAGTGTGGACTGAAAACTCCAGTAACTGTGAGCTAAATAAACCTTTCCTTCCTTCATTTTGAGTGTCAGGTATTTGTCCCAGCAATGAGAGAGGAGTGACTAAGACAGATTGTCTGTCCCCAGAGGGACTTGCTTAGGGCTGAGACAAGGTGTCAGAGAGCTCTTGTGGCAATGGGCAGTGCAGCCTAAAGACCAGAAGCTTGGAGACTGGTCATTTCTGGTTACCCTCGTAAACCCTGATATCTGCATTGCTTGTGGTGGCAACATGCCTGACATCACCCAAACTTGTAGCCCTTCCTAAAGTACTTACAGGAATGGTAGTGGTTATACTGAACAACTGTCTGATCCCAGTGCTGGGGATGGAACCCAGACCCTTACACATGCCAGACCAGCATCTACCACTGAGCTACATCCTTGTTACTTTGAAACAAAATCATCCCAGAAAGGCCAATCGCTAGTACTCATTCTCAGGTGAGCCACACTAAGATGACAGGCAGCATCAACACAACACTGTGAGCTCAAGTTCTCTGAAGAAGCCGCACCTATATTAAAGATTCTGCAGACTCCTCGACCTTGGCTGACTAGAATACCGTGACAGGGGAGAGAAGGAATGCTGCAGGGTTATAGCCAAGATTATCTTGGGCTATTTTAGGCCCTTTAATAGCCATTTACCATAACTTTTGTATCTGACCTAATATTCTCGTGACTAGTAAAGAATTCATCCCTACGTTTAGCAGTCCTCTAACTCCACCAACCCTAAAGCTCAGAATGCTACAAGCCAACATCTGAGGCATGTGGAGATTTCTCTACCTTGCTATGACCACCTAGCTGAAGTTCCTCCCAGTCACTGGGAAATGCATTGATTTATGACTTCTTTTGTTCTGTGACTACAGAAGTTCACATTGCCTCCTCCACAGTGGAACCTGTCATTCATGGTAACCTGAATTCATGCTCTGAGGCCATGGTCATTCATATTGAGCTTATTATAAAGTTTTCTTATTTCTTTTAAAGCAGAGCCATTATTTTACGGAAGTACCACCCGCCCAAGGCATGCTCTGAATTGTTAACGCGCACACTCACTTTAAGGCTTGGGTCATCTGGAATTCTTATCCAAAGATCACACAACACTACCAGAGTGTCCTAACTGCTTCCCACACAAAATGGAGGGAAGAAAAGCCTCCTTTCCCTAAAACAAGATTGACATTCAATGCTATCAAGACACTCAACTTACCATTTCATCTATTTGCATTTGTCATAATCCTATTGTAGGCAGCAGCAGTAGCAGGAGGCATGCACTTTGATGCACAGTGAATGTGTGTAGCATGTGGCACCTCCCTGCCCATGCCTCCCTCCCCCACCCCACTCATACCTCTTTGGAGCACCAAGCACATTTTGGGTGGATCATCAGACACTCTTCACAGGAGGAGGCACTCCCACTAGTACACATGTTGAGACCTTCAAAGAAAGGTAAAAATGCACCAATTAGTTCCTGGCTATAAACTTTATTGAGGAGGACTTTGAATGGCCTGGGAGAGGAGTTCAGGGTATTGCAGGCAGCTGAGTTAGATAAAAAATATTATAGGCAGTCAGACAG